GGGGGGGGGGGGGGTGGGGTTAACTGGGTTGAGAGTAGTGCTGGTTGGTTGGTGGTTAGGGGAGGGGGTTAGTTAGTTTACTGGTGCTGGTGCTAGTGCTGGTATTGCATAGGATATAGACGCGAGAAAGAGAGAAAGAGAGAGAGAGGGAGATACACAAAGGTAAGTAGGTGGTAAGTGGTAAGTAGTAAGTGAGAGAGGCAGAGTTTACTATTCCAGTCCATCTCATCCTAGCTGCAACTCGCAGCTCCAGCTCCACAACATGCATGCACCATATTTTCCTTTTCCATTCCATTCCTTTCCTTTCCCTCCCACCTCATCTCCATCTCCATCTCCATATCCATCTCAGTCTCTCTCTCTCTACATGTACTTTCACTTTCACTTTGCCCGCTCTATTATCCTTTACCCTTTACCCTTTTGCCTAGTGTCCGTGTGTCTTACTGTATATTTTCCTGTATCCTTTTTTTTTTCTCTTTCTGTGTGTCTTTGCGCACGCACACATGCATGCATGCAACTTACTTGCATTTACCTTTACGCACACACACACACACACATACACACGCGCCAGCCGGGACATGTCTCATGTCTCATGTCTCATGCCTATTCCCCCCATGTCCATGCTAACGTGTTTGTACCCGGCCTTGCTCTGCACCACGCGACACCCAGGGTAAGTATTTTTACTACTGTATATTTGACTTCACTTCACTTGACCTTTTTATTTTATTTTTTTACAATCTATCAGTTAGTCAGGTCAGTCAAGTCAAGTCACACCTCCCCCTTATTTTTGCCTTTTGCAGCGTGGGTAAGTGAGTGAGTGGGGGTTGCTGAAGTCTTCCTCTTCGTCTCCCACACTCTCTCACCCTCTGCCCTACACTTCCACGCACGCCGGGACTCTATTTCTTTCTTTTTGCAGCTCAAAATTCCGTCTCGGGGCATTTTTGCTTGATTTTATTCTTCTCAGCCTAGTCAAGTCCTGGTCTTTTGATGTTTATTTTTTTTCCAAGTCAGAAGGGTGTGAGTGAGTGAGTGAGTGAGTGAGTGGGTGTGTGAGGAAAGGCAAAAAAGTAAAGTTTAAGTGGAGGGGGGGTGACCACTAGGACCCCCGCTTTTTGTGTTTGGGACTTGGGCGGACTGGCCAGGCTGACGGGCTGAGTGGCTGGGACAAAGATCCAAACGACCTTTCTCGCTACCTCTCCCGCACTCGCTGATTGATTGACTAGTTGATTCACATGTACACCTCCTTTTGGTTTGTTTTCACAACAGTCACAGTCGCAGTCTTATCTTGGGTTTGCGAAAGCTAATAATACATTGCCGTTGGGTTTCTACACCTACACTAGACGGCAGGATGCAACTTCACAGTCCAAACCATGAAAAGAGGGTGTGTGGATACAGGGGTAGAGTGGTTCCGTTAAAGTGGTTGATTTTTCCAACGTACAGGCGTCTTGTCGCCATGGAGGTAGGTGTAATTGATGCACGTTGTGCTTGTAAGCTTTTTTTTTCCTTCTCGCGTGCCAAACCACGTTTTTTGTGGTCTTTGTCCCTTGCCATATCGTCATAGCCTCTGTTTCTACGAAGTAATTTCCAAGTCCCTGCCGCCCCTTGTCCGGTGGCTTTCGTGATTGCTTAGTTCGTCCATGGCTACCTCCATTTCGGAGGCATTTTCAAGGCCGCCTTGGAGGGTCTCGACCGTGTCGCTGACTTGATCTCCGGGAGCCGCTTCGCCCATTCGGGACGTCGAGGTGCTTGGGTTGTTGTCATTGGCCTCTGTACTGGCTGGTCCAAGACCTGGCGTGGGCCGGAAGGTGATTTCGCCCCGGGCGGCGGCGGCCAGACGTTGCTTTTGGCCGGTTTCTCCGGCGCGACCCAGGACGCCGGCAATAACTTGAATGCAGCGGAGGCTACAATCGTGTTAGCAGCAGACCCGTATGCTCGGGCCGGGGCTTTGCTTACCTGTCGTCGTTGGCCGGAATGGGGTAGGTGACCCAAGTGGGATCGGCGTTGGTGTCGATGACGCCAATCGTGGGGATGTTGTTGAGGGCGCATTCGTGGAGCAGCACATAGTTTTCCAGCGGGTTCAGGCAGACGACGAGATCCGGACGCAGGGCAGGGCGGTCGTAGAGCTGCTCCTCGAAGCCGGGGACTTCCTCGTCAAACTCGTTGACAACCTTGGTCTTGCAGCGGCCGAGAATCTGCTGGCCGTTGGTGATGCTGCCGGGGATCCAGCGCTCGAACAGGTGGTAGGCCTTGGCCAGCTCGGCGGCACGCGCAACGGCTCTGTCCTGGCCCTCGCGCGTGCCTACAAACAAGATGATGCCGCCGCGACGGGCGACTTCGTGGACGACCTTGGCGGAGCGGCGCAGGTGGGCGGCCGTGACTTCGAGCGAGATGATGTGGATGCCGTGGCGGATGCCGTGGATGTAGCGAGCATTGGCGGGGTTCCAGAGCGACGTGACATGGCCCTGGTGGGCTTCCGAGGCCAGCAGCAGCTCCAGCGTCACGTCGGCAGGCGAGGGCGGGTGGTTGAGCAGCGTGTGCGGGCGGTAGTGAGGGGCAATGTCAGAGCCCAGCTTTCCCAGCAGCTTGGCTGGGCGAGCGTGGTGTTAGCATGGCGGCAGGCAGTCATGGGCGGTTGGGCGTACCCTGCTGGCGGTACAGGAGGTACTGCTCTGCGACATTGTCGCGGGCGGCAGGCGGAGCGGCGGGCGTGTCGGGGGCAACTGCGGGCACGGGCTGGGCGAGCTGCGTGTTGAGCTGGGCCTCGAGCGACTGTATGTGTTTCACGCTGGTGGCCGTGGCCGCCTCGAGGGCGGCGATGTCGGTGGAGAGCAGGCGGCGGGGCGCGGGCAGGCGGGCGAGGGCGCGGGGGCCTGGCGGCAGAGTCAGCAGGCGGGCGGCGGGCGAGGCATTGGAGGCGAGGGCATACCGCAGCGGGCGGCGAGGCGCCTCACGATCATGGTATGCGGTCGCGGTCGCAGTCGCAGTCGCAGGCCAAGGTCCAAAATCTCGCTCGCACTCGCGATGGTGCCAAGGCGCGGACGGCGCTAAGCCGCTTCGGGCACGCGGTGCCGCCGCCTCGCCTCTCCGTGTGCGTGTGCGTGTGCGTGTGCGTGTGTCTCTCCGCCGGCCTCGCCCTGGCACCCACACCTGCGGCCTGCACCTGTGCCTGCGCCTGAGCCTGCGCCTGCGCCTGCGCCTGCGCCTGTGCCTGTGCCTGTGCCTGCGCGTCCACGCCGAGCAGCCGACACGGCGGCTCGAGCCCGCCCAATCGCCCGCCGCCGTCCGAGGCTGGCGATGCGAGGGTAGACGAGGCAGCGCGAGAGGCGGGCGTCGGTTCCAGTTGAGCGTGCATCGGTCCCACCCGCCAGGGCAGCAGACGGTGCATGGCATATGGCATTCTGCGATTGCCATGGCGCTGCGCGCGGCCGCCCCGTCTGCTGCCCGGCTGCGCGCGCGCCCACGGCCACGGCGACTGCAACGACGGGCTGGCGCTGGCGCTGCTTTTTGCTTTTGCTGGTGGCATGCGAGTGCTGGCGCTGGCACTGGCACTGGCGCTGGTGCTGGCGGTGCTGGCGCGGTGCGGTGCGGTGCGGTGCGGTGCTATGCTGCGACCGCCTTTTCTTTGCCCGCTGCCCGTGCTGGGCCCCAATATTCTGCTCGTGCTCGCACGCACTTGGACACGCCCAAAGCCAAAGCCACTGACATGTTGCCCTGCTCTGCTGCACCCAAACTATCCCGCTCCCGGCCTTTCTTGGCAGCTAGCGCTTTCGACTGACGCTGCACATCTCGCCCTGCACATCCAACCTCCACATCCCCCCTCCCCTCCCACCCCCCATACCCAGACCCAGACCCAGACCCAGACCAACACCCAGACCAACCACCAAGAATCCCACGCCTGCCCTATCCCCCGATCCCCCACTCGCTGCAAATGGCCTGCGGTTGAGTCGCCCCTCGCCCTCGCCCTCGCCCGTCGCCGTCGCATGCGAGCTGCCTCGAGCTGCTGGCTGCTCCTCCCTCTCCTCTCCTCCCCTCCCGCCCCGCCGCCGCCGCCACCACCGCCACAACGCACCGCCCGTCCAAGAAGCGATAGCGCACAACTCCGCCCACGGGCGCCTGCTCCCCCTCGTGGATGCCCACAACCCGGTGCTGGCCGTTCCTCTCTGCAGCCTCTGACCCCCTCGCCCTCGCCCGGCCCCGGTGCCCACCATGAACGGCTATCCCTACCCGACGCGGCCCTACAGCCAGGCCGGCAACGGGCCCATGATGATGAGCATGGAGAGCGACGCTATCAACGGCTTCGACATGTCCGAGGGCCAGTCGCTCGACTCAATGGTGGCCCAGAACGACAAGGAAAACCGCCGGAGGAGCATGCCGCCCTACGCTCGAGGCCCGCCGCAGATGACGTTGGGCAGCCCCGACACGCGCCGGCTGAGCATGATGAACTTTGGCGACCCCAATGGCGGAGACATGGACGACTTCCGCTTCGACATGTCGTCGGCCACCATGGAGAACCTGATGCACAGCGCCAACAACTCGGCCACGCCCGCCTTCCCACGCTCCACGGGCGACATGCACACCGACCAGCTGCCCGCTACCGACCTCGCCATCAACAACCAGTTCCAGGGCCAGGCCTCGCCCTTTGCCCACATGGCCGCACCGGGCTCCGCCTATGCGTCACCCATGCATCAGAAAAACTCGCTCGACCTCGACATGTCATCATATCAAAATGGCATCAACATGTCGCTCGACATGGACGACTCGCTCAACATGATGCCCGCAGACATGAACATGTTTCCCGGCAACCAGTTCAACTCTCCCATGCTCGGCTCGCCCCTCAACCAGGACTTTGCCGGTCCCATGCCGCCCGCCCCACAAGATACAAACTCAAACTCCAACAACACGCCCAACCCCCAGTCCCAGGACCAGTTCAAGCGCCCCTCTGTGAACAACACGCCCGAGGTCAAGTCAGGCAGAGCCGGCTTCCTCAGTCGCACAGTCAGCCAGGACCAGTCCAGCATGCGCTCCACGCCTCGCTCCCAGAGCGAGCGACATTCTTCCAACAGTGTCCCCACGCGAATGACCATGGCCTCTCTCCACAACCAGCAACCCATAGCACAAGACCCTACCCAAGACCTGCCCAAAGAGGTGCTCAACAAGCACTACCGCAACGGCAACGTCCCGCCATGGCCCACGCCTGCTGGCGGATTTCCCTCGACCATGCACCAGAACCCGCACATGAAGACTCAGTTCAAGAACGCCTACTCGTCAACCGGCTTCGACATGCTGGGCGTATTGGTATGTTTTGAGTAGATATGATTGGACGACAGAGAAGCTGACCGCCATCAGATGCGAGTAGCCAGCAGACCGGATCCCCAGATCGATATCGGCTCCGTGGACCTCTCCTGTGCGTTTGTCGTGTGCGATGCCGAACTCGACGACATTCCAATTGTCTATTGCTCCGAAAACTTTGAGCGTCTCACCGGCTACACACGCCATATGATCCTCGGCCGGAACTGCCGCTTCCTGCAGGCTCCCGACGGAAAGGTCGAATCGGGCATCAAGCGCAACTACGTGGATGACGACTCGGTCTACTACTTGAAGAACATGATTGAGAGTCGGTCCGAGGCACAAATCAGTTTGATCAATTACAGAAGAGGTGGACAGCCGTTTATGAACCTGCTGACCATGATCCCCATTGCCTGGGAGCCTGGTGGCAAGACAAAGTTCTTCATCGGTTTCCAGGTCGATCTAGTAGAGCAGCCGGGTGCAATGACGAACAAAAACTCGGGTAGGCCGGCACGCCTCAACCCCTCTTCTCACTCTCGTGTACTAACAACACTGCAGACGGCACCTATAGAGTCAACTACCAACGCGGAATGTCGATACCCAGCTACGTCTTCAGCGATCACCTAAAACCCCCACAGTCTGAGCAAGGCCAGACAATATCAAAAGATGAGGTGTCCAATGTTCTTGCGGCGTACAGTGGAGGCGGCGATTCGGAAATGACAAGACGTGTCTGGGACAAGGTTCTGCTCGAGAACAGCGACGATGTTGTTCATGTATTGTCGCTCAAGGGACTTTTCCTGTACTTGTCCCCTGCTAGTAACCGGATACTGGAATACGACCCGAGCGAGCTTGTCGGAACTGCCCTGTCATCCGTCTGCCACCCCAGCGATATTGTTCCCGTGACCAGAGAACTAAAGGAGACGACCAATGGCGCATCCGTAAACGTCGTGTTCCGGATACGACGCAAGAAGAGCGGGTACATGTGGTTCGAGGGCCACGGCTCGTTGCATACCGAGCAGGGCAAGGGTCGGAAATGCATCATCCTTGTCGGACGGGAACGGCCCGTCTACACACTGAGCAAGGCCATTGTGCGCGAGTCTGGCGGTGTCGGCGACAACGAACTGTGGACAAAGATGTCTACCTCGGGCATGTTTCTGTTTGTTTCGTCAAACGTACGCCAACTTCTCGACAAGCAACCAGAGGATCTGGTTGGGACGAGCATCCAGTCTCTTATGCGCCAGGAGTCCAAGGTGAATTTTGGCCGGATATTGGAGTTTGCAAGAGGCGGCAGAAAGGGCGAGGTGAAGCACGAAATGATCAACAAACGTGGCCAAGTGCTCCAGGCTTTTACCACAATCTACCCGGGAGACGCAGTCGAGGGCCAAAAACCTACTTTTGTGGTCGGACAAACACGACTGCTCAAATACTCACGCAACAGCACGGCCGGCCGTCCTTCCATGTACACAAACAACAAGCACGACCGAGACACTCACCACTCAATACACTCACAATTTTCCGGCGGCGTCTCGCCTCGGCCGCCATCTGGAGCCGGAAACAATGGAACGTCTGGGAACACGGGAAACTCGACCCCGTCGACAGCCACTACCAACCCCCTATTTGTTACCACTGAAGAATCCCCTGCTACGTTTGCTGGCCATAATGGCTTGCAAATTGGACACCAAGATCAAAGTCTTGCATCGGACGACAACGTGTTTGATGAGCTCAAGACAACCAGGAGCACCAGCTGGCAGTACGAGTTGCGGCAAATGGAAAAGCGGAATCGATATTTGGCAGAAGAGGTGCAGAGCTTGCTGGCAGCCAAGAAGAAGCGAAAGCGGAGAAAGGGCGCAGGCCAGATGCAAAAGGATTGTGCAAATTGCCACACGAGACAAACACCCGAGTGGCGCCGCGGGCCTTCTGGAAACCGTGACTTGTGCAATTCGTGTGGACTGCGGTGGGCGAAGCAGGTGAGTGACGTGTCCCCTTTGCGAAGCGACTTGTAGAGCCTAGGCTAATGCTGGTGCGTTCATAGCAAGGACGAGTATCACCGAGAACGTCTTCGGCCGCAAGCGACAAGAGCAAAAAGAGCGCCTCACCCCGCCACCTCCAAACAGGCCATCAAAACCACCAGTCGATCCTACCCAATTCCAAGTCCGAGGCCGGACAGCCAGTATACAGCCCTTCAACATCCATGGCCACACCCAGCAAGCGATCGCCGCAACATGGCAGCATTAGCGAATCCCATGCCCCCAAGGCGGCACGTACAGAAACCGCCTCTGCGCAAGGCTTCATTCCACCACCGGCCATTGACGAAGTTACAGAGCCGGATTCATAAAGATTGACGTTTGCGCCCCTTCCCGTGCCTCCTCTTGTTTCGCGTCATTTTCGTCTTTGGTCAAACGATACCCCAGTACACTTTGTTTCCTAGTTTTATTTAACGGCCTTGACAATCACTTGGCAGTGATATTGGAGACCATTTAGATATCTCCCGTGTTTGTTTCTTTTTCTCCCATTGTCGTTTGCATCCTCTTTTTTATTCATCTATTTATGGTTTCCTGGGTTGGATGCTGGGTTATCTATCAGGGAGCTATGTCATGTACTCGCATTACAATGCTTTGCTTCTAGTCGTCGACTGGATTGTGAGGCGTAAAAAAATCTGTCTTGTAGATATTGGGACATTTCCTCATTAGTGCTGGAGAGAGAGAGAGAGAGAGAGAGAGAGAGACTGGAAGTGCGGGCGACTCTGGGGGCCCTTTTTTTATCTTCACCTTTTTCGTTTTTGGATTACCTTATTTTTATGCTCTCTCCACTTTTTCTTCTTCTTCTTTTTTCACCCTGGAGCCAGCATGTACTATTTTTGCGGGAGAGGGGCGGACGAATTGCAACGTTTGGGGTGTGTGGTTGGAAAGTCAAGCAAGTGGTGCAGAGTCAGCGCCTTGTGTGTGTGCGTATATGTGCATGTGTGAGCGCATGATATGAGTCAAATCAATCCCATTAAACTAGTCAAGATCAATCTGAAACCTAGACGTTGCAACGTGAAGATTGAGAGGTAGGGTCAATGCAACGTCACGATGGACATGGATGGTGAGGCTGGAATGACGGCGACTTGGGGGCCTTGGGAACTGTAAAAAAGAATGTACAGGATGATGGTTTACTTGCTGGGGAATAGCCTGCTTATATATATATATATATATGTGTGTGTGTGTGTATGTATACGCAAACAAACAAGCAAGCACTATTGTTCTCATCCACTCGTGATTCAGAGAGATGCACTAAGTACTGCTAGTTGTCCCTGTACCCCCTCCATTCTCCATCCCCCACATCCGATACAATACTACATGTATATGTAGGACACCAAATTATTTACAAGGAGAAAATCCAGTTAACTAGGGGTATGTGCTATACTGACGTTGTGTATAATACTAGTAATCTTGATTCTTTTTTTCTTTTCAAAGATGACAAGTAACTGACTGACTGACTGACTAACTGACTGACTGACGGAGTGCGTGCGTGAGTGCGTGCGTGGATGAATGACTGAGTTGAGTGCGCGGAACGGGACGGGACGGATGGATGGGAACGGATGGAGCGGAAGCTGGAAGGAGCAGGAGTAGTAGTAGTAATGATAGTAATGATAATATTAACATTAGTCTTAGTATGATTACAAGTGTTGGCAGAATTCTTGGGTCTGGAATGCATATAACGAGGGGGTTGGTGGTATATAGTCATACATGTGTATGCATGTAAGTAGATGTAGAATACAAAAAAAAACCAAGTCAAGTTATACTACAGTAATGATGTTTTTGCTATGGACTTGGATGATATAGCATGTATTCTTCCATTCTCCCTCCTCCTCCTCCTCCTCCTCCTTCTCCTCTTTTTTTTTAGAAGGGGGGTGGGCTACTATACTACTTACAACTATCCGCGCACACACATCCATTGCTACGATTCTGCTGTATGCTGTCTACGCCGAGCGTTTTGAAGTAGAGATTTGATGTAAGATAAGATGACATGTATAACGCACTAAACTAGTTCTACTACAAATACAGCTAAGAAAGCAAGAAATCAAAGAAACTAAGCCAATGGTTCCAAAACCCTCTCTCTCTCTCTGTCTCTTTCTCTCTGCCTTTAGAACCAGACGCCACACCAAAAACCTAATTTTCAATCCACACCTTTTTTGCATTTTTTTTTGCAGTGAGCCATGCTCAAGTCACAGATGTTGAGGGGGGGGGGGAGCGGGGTAACAGGTTAGTTGTAGAGAGATTAGTAGCTGGTCCTTGTGTATGTATTCCTTTGTATATAAGTATGTATGCGTATTATGTGTATTTTTTTTTCCTCACCATCCGTCCACCCGTTGGGAAGACGAGTGAAGCGGACGGCCGGACGGACACGCAACGCAACGCATCGCAACGCACGTACGCAGCACGTATACGCACAGGTCCCTCATCCCCCCCGCTTAGTCTTAGTCTTAGTCTTAGTCTTGAGGGGGGTGTGCAACTTGGGTACGCGCGCGCACGCGGGGGGGGATAAGGAGGGTAAGTAGTAAACAGACGTGGAGATATATACTCAAGCATGTCAAGTCTAAGTAAGTAAGTGTAACCAGGAACCCGCTGTCTGTTTATTTATTTTTATTTCTAGTTTCAAAGGCGCGAGGAGCGTGGGCCGAGGCGGCCGTTTTCTGGGTCGCGCGGCATACGGGCTGGGATGTGCGCGGGCAGGCAAGGGGGGCGAGTGCGAGTGCGAGCGGGACGTGTGGGTAGGTAGGTGTGTGTCTGTGGGTGTGTGTCTGTGGGTATATGTGTAGCAAGAGTAGGCAAGAAGGATTGAAATACTAGTCGTAGGTGGATATACTAATAGTATGTATGTATGTGTGTATGTATGTGTAGTAGTCGCTGGATACATGCTCGCGTACATGTTTCACAAGAAACAGGATGGCGTACTGTACAGGGGGGGATGCAAGGAGGAGACATGGCAAAGTCGGCCCCCCCCCGGACTGGCCGTCACACCGGGTATCGTGGGCAAGGGGACCAGGGCCACGGGCAGTATTTCCATATTGTAGATTGTCTGCATATACTATACCTATGGGTGTGTACGGTATGGGCCCATGCGACGAAGCGAATCCAACTTACACACACACACATGCACGTGTGTGATAGGCCGGCCCATGGAGGGGAGAAGAAGACGGCGGCGGCCAATCGCAGGCATGTCCATGGTCAAACCGTGGCAGCATAGAAGGGGGATGGAGAGACTGAAAGAAGGAAAAAAAGAAGGACAAGGAGAAGAAGGACAAGAAGAAGAAAACTTGGCACCGGCTTTCGAATCATGCATCCATCCGCGTTCCCAACGGATAACGACCAACGAACCAACAAAAACCAGGGAGCAGGAGGCGGCGGCGGCGGCGGCGGAAACAAACTTTGGGACGACACATGGGGAATGCGAAGATGGGCTCCGGGCGCAAAACACACACACACTGACACGACCGACACGTGCGAAACGAGGCCCTATTGCTTCCCCCGTGCCCCCGGCCATGCCAGCCGCTCGTCAAGCCACCCAATCAAACAAGTGGGGGCGCTCCTCCGGCCTGTTAATCCCCTTGGATCCCAGGGCTGCTGCGATCGATGTGCTCTGCGATCCATGCGTTGTCTTTGGGAGGAGAGGGGGGGTGGATGGGTGGATGGGTGGATGGATGGGAGCAAGGGAATGAGGGAGAGGAGAGAGAGAGAGAGAGAGAGAGAGAGAGAAAGGAAGAGAGAAAGACAGAAACAGAGAAACAGAAAGACAGAAGCAGAGGATGGTGGAAGAAGAGGGCACAGCAAAGCCCCCTTTTCTCTTTCCTTGGCCTGCTGCTGCTGATACTGCTGATACTGCTGCCACGGCCGCTACGCCTGTCCATCTATCCCAAGGCCTCACGTCCGAGGCGTTTCGGGTAGTCGTATGTCGCAAACTATCGATGTACAATACCAGATAGCAGTCCGGACTGTCCCGTGTGGATCAGGGAAGAGAAGCAAGGATCACCGACGTCTTGCGCAAAAATAAGAGAGAGAGCCTTGCTTTCTGCCATGGGACAAGATACGAGGAGGAAGGGATCTTCGCAACGCACCTCATTTCGTTTTGGTTAATGCCCGATGCTTACTAGGTAATAGGCTGTCCTGTCTGTCTCTGTCTCGCGCGCGCGCCCTCTTTCGCTCTCTCTCTCTCCCTCTCTCTCTCCCTCTCTCTCTCCCTCTTACTCGTCTTTTTTTCCCTCTTGACCAAGCACGCACTGTCCCGCTTTCATTTAATTCCTATCCGCTTTTCCCCTTCCGCTCTCTCGTCTCCCTCCAATCTCTCGCTCCCTCGCTCGCCCGCCTCTTTTTTTTTATCGATTGGCTATATATCAACTCTATATACACTGGTTGGTGCGACAGGGAAATTCACGCATTCCCCCCCTCTTTGGTCCTTGTTTTTTTTATCCCCGCGCTGCTGCCGCCGCCGCCGCCGCTCACCCGCCGTTTGGGTTGACTGGGTGTTGGCAAAAGGCCAAGCGTGTGTGACTTACATGGTCTGGTGGTTAAGTATTCAAGGTGGAGCACTATTCGGGCCGGGGTTTGGTTTCAAGCTTAGCTAAAGCTGGCTTATTAATACGAAGCTTAGACAGCTTCTATCCAATTAAAAGCAATATAACTGCTTATAAAGAGTGTGGCTTTGCAGATTCCTCTAATGTAATTGGTGTTACAAAATCATCCCTGGGCACTAACCAGCACCCCTGCCAGTGCTCCACCTTGAATACTTAACCACCAGACCAAGTAAAGGAATCGCACTTCCTTTTTGTTTGATCAGTGTTATACTTTTTTCTTATTCCCTTTACAAGACACTTGCATACACACGCACCCCTGGCGCCAACTCGGCTAAGGATATATACTTCGAGACGATAATAGGGCCATAGGCTATTGGACCGTGGCTTTTTTGGATTTCCTTTTTAGGGTTCAGTGACAAAGGCAAAAAGAAAAAAAATCAAGTCAGGGCGGTGGGCCCTTTTTTGGGGGGTGTGAGTGAGGCGTCGACTCGTAGGCAAGAGGGCCAGACCTTGGGGGAGCTGACCAGGCGAAACGCGGTTGCGACACCGTCTCCCGATTCTGGAACCTGTAAACCCGACCCAACCTGCCCAGGCAAAGCACAGAGAGCATCTGGCAGTCCGACTGCGCAAAATCAATCAATAAAAAAGGTGGACAGCCATGGACGAGAACAACAGGATAACCATCACTGTGTGTGGCGACGGAGGATGCGGTACGCATGCGCAGCAAGAAAGGAGGTCGTCGCAAAGCACAGAAGAGCTGATGTGCGCGCAGGAAAGAGTTCAATCACATTACGGCTGGTGAGGAGTCAATGGACATCAGAGTAAGTCGCGCCGCCTCATGCGACACAGCCCATGTGCTTTGCAGCGCAGCACGAGTGCCTTGGGCTAACATGGTGTTGCGTCTAGATACGACCCTACGATAGGTACGACACCGCGAATGCGCCCGCCCAGCGACTTGGAGCCCGCCCATGTCTAACTCCCCCTTGCAGAAGACTCGTACTCGGTAACGCGCACGATTGACGGCGTCCCTTACTACCTCATGCTCACCGACACGGCTGGCCAAGAAGAGTACCGCGGCCTGTGGGCGGCCTCGAACCTGCAGTCCGACGCCTTCCTGCTCGTCTACGACATCACAGCCGCAAACTCGCTCGACGCGCTAGATTACTTCATGGAGATGATCGACATGGAGACGGACAACCGGCTAGACAATGGCAAGATACCGCCAATCAAGTGCGTCGTCGGCAACAAGTGCGATTTGCAGGGCCAGCGCGTCATTGAAGCAAAGACGGGGCTGGAATGGGCACGGACGAGGAAGTGCGGCTTCATGGAGACGAGTGCGCGAGAAATGGTCAACATCGAGGAGACATTTGCCCGTAGGATTCTTCCTCCCCACCCCCCCTCCTGCTTTCTGTGCTGTGCAAGAGTAGCCCGCTAACCTGCATCTCTCCGCAGTCCTTGTCCGCCGCGTCGTCGAAGCACGAAGACTCGCCGCGGGCGATAGCGCTATAAACCGTACGGCCGCCATGCCCCTCTCCTCCAACCCAAATCTCTCCCCGGGACAGACGTACACGGAAAAGCACCAAGACGACGGCGAGCCCAAACAGAGCTTCTGGAGCAAACTGAAGTGCTGGTAGCCCTCTCTTTTTTCCCCCTCGGAAATACTCGGTCCGCCTTGCAGGTTTTGTCTTTGTGCCCTAAAAGCCCCGCGTTGGAGGGGCAATAGAATGGTCGGATGACGACCTTGTTGGGGAAATGCGTGCAAGGGCATATGCATTGATATGCATGCTCAAAGCTTATGCGCGTGCCTTTGTTTCTCCATGGCCAAATCGTCTGGTTTCCCTTTGTTTGCAAGCTGCATTGAGGCTGGCGCCCTTTGTGGTCTGCTTCTTGCAGTAGAGTCTCTTGAAAAAAAGGAGACTCGATGACATGTACTGTACCTTGCTCTCTCTCTCTTTCTTGTATCTTGTCTTGTCGTGTCATTTTCCCTTTTTTTGTTTCCTCTTATCGTTGGACGGGAGTGGCATTGACATACGCATCGCATGGATATGTTGGTTAGCGGGATGGCTGGGGGATCATGGCATATACCACAATACCAGGCGGTAATCTGATTTTGTTTGTTCTGTGCTGGTGAATGATGCACTTGGGATGTCTCATGTTGATATGCATATGTAGTGATAAGAGTGTTCTGACCATGTTATTACAAGGTTTTCTATAGGCGTACCATTATGACCAGGTGAATGTATAATACCCATGACTTCTAGAACCAAGTGCTTACTGCAATCTGAAATAGACCTGTAACGGGCGCCATGCGAAGAATGACCTGTTCGAGGCATGGGTTGCAGCCAACTATCGGCTATCGAAGGACATTGCTAGTGCGTCCGTGCACAAGCACGCCATTGGCTTTCACGTGGCTTTGAACATCCTCGACATCTGGGATATTCTCACAATTACAAATTTCGCCATAGTCTACTTCGCGACGGCGTGAGGCTGCCAGGGTTCGTATCTGGGCAAGGAGCAAAGAAGAGGCGCACACAGGTCGGTCAAGTCTCAATTGCCCCTCCATTGGGCACGTGCGCGCAACGGTAAGAGTAGGGAGAGAGTGTGAAGGCGACAGGGCCGAATCAACAAGAACACATTCAAAATGTCAGAACCTCACATGGAACACGAGGACCCGGGCCACGATGGTCTGTCCCGCATGCTCAAGGACCTTTTTGCTGGCGCAGTAGGCGGAGTCGCCCAAGTGCTTATCGGCCAGCCTTTCGATATCGTCAAAGTCCGTCTGCAGACCACATCGCAATACTCGGGCGCCCTGGATGCAGCAACAAAGATCTACAAGAACGAAGGCGCACTAGCCTTCTACAAAGGTACCCTGACGCCCCTGATCGGTATCGGAGCCTGTGTATCCATCCAATTTGGTGGCTTTCACTATGTGCGCCGCGCTTTCGAGGCTAGCAACACAGCCAAGTCCGGTAACGGTCAGCTGTCTTACTCGCAATACTACGCTGCCGGTGCTTTTGCTGGTATTGCCAATACACTTCTCTCTAGTCCAATCGAGCATATCCGTATAAGATTGCAGACGCAGCCTCACGGCGCAAACCGGCTCTACACCGGGCCCATCGACTGCGTACGCAAGCTCTCGGCACATCAGGGTGTTCTTGGCGGCGTCTACCGTGGTACAGCAGTCACTTTTATGCGTGAGGCTCAGGCCTACGGATGCTGGTTTACCGCTTTCGAGTACCTTATGAACTCGGACGCTGCACGCAACAACATTGACCGCTCGGAAATCTCTACCCTCAAGGTTGCCGCGTATGGCGGTCTTGCCGGAGAGGTCCTCTGGATCAGCAGTTACCCATTCGACGTCATCAAGAGCAAGATGCAGAGCGATGCGTTTGGCGCCGAGCAAAAGTACAAGAGCATGAGGGACTGCTTTGTGAAGACATACAAGGGAGAGGGACTAGGTGGCTTCTGGAGGGGCATTGGACCAACTCTGCTCCGTGCAATGCCCGTCTCGGCCGGAACATTTGCTACTGTTGAGGTTACCATGAGGATGATTAGCTGAAGAGGGGGGTTCTGTTGGCGGATCTGAGTCGAATTGGATTCTCTTTACGACAGCGCATTCATCTGCGCTGGATGATTTGTACAATTGCTTTCCAGGTCAAACGCGTGTCGACCCGTCGACACGAAGACATTGCCGATCGATACACACAATACGGACTCCAAATTTGGATACCGTATCCTACACTATTACTCGAGATAAAAGGCGAACTAGCCCCGAACTCAACAAGTGCGACTTGAGCTGAACCATCCCTGCGCTTACATTACGTCATACTACCGTTAATCTTACATTAACGTAGTTCACAAGCGAGTCGCTCACCCAAGCGAGTCGCTCACGCCCCACCAGCGCGTCAACGTTGAGACGTTATCACGCACTTTTATCACAGTTAATAAACTATTACAATATACTAAATTAATTATTAGAATCGCTGCTATCACTTGCACTATCTATATCAACTGCGCAGATACGAGCGTTATGTCCAGTCTGCTTACAACGCCCGCACCGCCTCTCTCCTCGCACCCTCTTCGACGCACTCTCACCGTCGCCACGACTACTACCCGCCTGTTCAGCTAATACTTCTTGTACCTCGCCTACAGTAAGAGTCTCTTCTGTCCGTACGTATCGCCGCTTGCGGCTTTTACGCTTGTTTGATTCGTCTAGAGCCTCTTGAAGGGTGGTTATTTTCTCTGTCAAAAGTACCATCTTATGTGCCATCTGCTGAGCCCCCTTACTCAACTGCGCGATCTGCTCGGTAAGTGAATTAGCAGAAGACCCACGGCGCTTTCTCACGCTCTGTCGAATAAGACTAGTTTGAGCCTCAACTTCGCGCGCGTTACGTGGTGTCTGCGCCTCCCAGGCGGCTACCCGTCGCGGTGATTGATGTGGTGTCTGCACCACTACATCAAGCTTTAATAGCACAGCCTGTGGGTCGTGTGGGACTAAACCAGCGCCTCTAAAGCCAGCTTGGATATTCTCCTTCGTAATAGACTGCTCAAAAGCAGCCTTAAAGGCTGGCAGGAAGGTCTCCTTACTGATATAGCTGGTGCGGTTGCGTGCCAAGCCTGAGATCGAGTCGCCATACTTGCGCTTCAACGGCGAGAAGCAGGCGACATTAAGGGGCTGCAATAGGTGAGACGAGTGCGCAGGCATGCAGAGAAGAATGATATTCTTCTCCTTGCAAAGATCTTGAAAATCGACGGAGCAGTGGCTCTTATGGCCGTCGATAATGAGCAGTCGATACCCACCCACAGTCTGCCTCTTTGTATAGGTATCAAAGTGCTCTAACCACGCAAGAGCAAGCTGATTATTCGTCCAGCCATTAGGACTAACTTCAAGAACCTAGTCAGTAGGCAGGTCTTTAAACTAGACGTCGATAAGCACCTTGCCCGCAAAGATAACGAAGGGGGGTAGCCAGCGACCTAACGCGCCCACGCCTTAGATCACAGTAACCCACTCACGGTTACCTGGCTGGATCCGCTTCTTTTTGCTATATCCCTCTAAGCCTATAATAACTAACTATGATAAAATCTTGCCTATTATAAAGCTAGTTTCGTCAAAGTTGTAGATATCGTCGTCTACAATACCCCACTTCTACTTTGTCGCCTGAACTAAGTCGAACCAGCGCTGGATAGCCGCTGGGTCCTCGCAGGTAGCTCGCTGGTGATCGTAGGGACGGCTCTAGCGCGTGCGGAGCTTAGGAGTCCTCTTGACAAAGTTATTAATCTAGTTCTTGCCAACAGGGTTGCTCCCACGCTTATGCAGTAGTTTATCAGCTATTGCTTGAACGTTAGGCTTTGTAGGCGCAAATCCTCGCGCAGACTCCTTAAGAATACGCTTAACTATAGCCTCCTCTTCTAGCTTATTTAGGCGCTTCGAATTCGCTTCGCAGTCGCGTCGAGAGCGCTTTCCAGCGCGTTAGTCAGATAGGGTTCTTTGAGGCACGTTATAGATAGAGGCAGCACGTCTTTAGCTTTAAACACGTTGCGATTAGATATTAAAAAGAGCAAGCTAAAGATCTGATTCAGGATAGGCTAATAAATGTTGACGTTGTTGAGACATGACGTGTTGCAGTCTCGACGTCGACGCGCTGGTGGGGCGTGAGCGACTCGCTTGGGTGAGCGACTCGCTTGTGAACCACGTTACTGTAAACCACAAGAAACCAGGTCCTTGCAGCGTGACATCCTGGCGAGAATTTCCCTCTCACTCTCACTCTCACTCTTACTACGTAGCATCGATTACCAATAAGAAGCGGAAACTAACAAATGTGACGCCCAAGCGTCCAGATGGATTTCCGCCATCCATGGCATTCCCCAAGTCCCCCTCACTCCTTCACTCTGACTCTCTTTTTCTTTTTGAGGTCCAACCGCGACGCCTTAACCGAAAAAGAAGCCCCTGTTCCGCCCCCGTCAAAAATAAAATACTGGAAAAAAAACTGTGCCACGCTCGTACAGTAAAATCATCTAAGACGTGGACGCTACGGCATTCTCCAAGTAGGCGTAGCCTGCGCTCTGAGCGCCAGTCAGACACGGCAACATGGATTGTGCAGAGTTTGCATAAACGGTGATTACATGGATTAGATGGATGCGTGCCGCTGGTACCGAGCGGAGAACGTGCTCCTTGGCCCTCCCCACCGCTGGCTGGCTGCGAACCGGTGGGTTGATCGTATGGCATAGCATGGGAAGGGGGGGTGTGCTTTGACGTCTCTATTGCCATGTTCCAGAGTCCCACTTTTCGTATTCCCTCGATGCGCTACTTTTCCTCACGTGGACAACCCAGGCTAAGCAGTATGCATGTAATCGATAAAAAGGTGAGATGGAAGAAGGTAAATCAGCCTCTTTTTTTGATTTTTAAATTCTTGAATTTTCTTTTTGTTTCTTACGCCAAGCCAAGAAGAAAAAAAGACAAAGAGACGTGGTTTCACGGAGACGGCGGCAGTCCTCGCAACCCACTATGCTGGAATGCGGCACAGCCCGCTCGGCCTGCAATCGCGGCCGTCGATACAATGCTGGCGTTGCGCCATGATGCAAAAGGGGAAGAAAAACATGGATGATTCAAACAAGTGCAAGAGCGATCAAGTGGGAAAAAACATAGACGGGTGGTGGTAGAAAGAGGCGCTGAGACACAACACAGGTTTGTCATGTGTGTGTGTGTGTGTGTGTTTGCTGACAAGGGACTAATTATCCAGGGTAGGTCCCCGTCACGTTGCGGGTTTCTCCTCATTCTCCTCTCCGATCGTCCCTGATCACTGTTTCCAAAGTAAACTTTAAAGACGCAAGCTCATTTTACCACTCAACAATAAAAACACGTCGGCGACCAACCAACCAAGCAACGGCGCTCTCACACACATACACACACTCTCTCTACATCTACACTGAAGCCTCACCGTTTTTTTCTCATTTCCGCACGGTACCGCCAATGGGAAAATGGGCTTCACTAATGCCTTGCAAAGATATACCTGCAGTCTCCCTTTCCCCAAGCATCCTCCGGGCCCATGTTCATCATCTTCCTCCTCTCCTCCCGCTTCCCCATCCTGCGATACCCAGCACGACGCGCTGAACCACACGCCATCGGAGGAAGACCTGATCCCGGCATACTCGCTGCAAACACGCTATGCGGTAGCGCCATTCCAGTACCTCGATTCAGACGTGTACCCGCCCTCGAGCCAGATTGTGTGCCACTCGCCGCTCGACAAGCGGTACCGGAAGAAGAAAAATCGCAGAAGCACAATGAGGAGCTGGGAGAGAGCTGCGTCGACTTCGGCAACGTCTAAGAGCGTGAGCGAGAATGCCGGTGAAAAAGCAGCGCCGTCGTCGTCGTCGAAATCATCGAAGATTTTGTTTTCTAGCTCCGGATATGCTGAGGTCCAGGTTGGGAAGGGTGGTTAGTGGTTAGTGGTGGTAGGGGTTGTTGCTGAGCGGATTGATGAATGTGGAGAAAAAAGAAAGAAAGAAAGAAATTCTTGATGCGGATTTTGGAGTGTTTTTCTTCGGATATTTTGTATGATATGACGATGTGTAGTTGAATCTGCACGAGGTACTTATTTTCCCTTTGTCACCATTTTTTTCTTTTTGGTTGGGCTGGATGAGTGGAAGAAGAAGGGTGCTTGAATGGTCTTTGGAGCCCTTGCACTCGCTCTTGTGCTGGTATAGCACCCATTGCGCTTTGGAGTCCAGAGACTAGATGTTACATACGCGCCATTTCTGTAAACTGAACCAAAAAAAATGCTAGATTTTCAAGTCAAGGTCGAGACATGTGAATGGCCATGGTGTAAGTATGTAGCTATTTATAAAGCAGTGGAGCTCAGTTGTGAGAAAAAGCATGTATCCATTTGAGCAAGACGGAATGGATACATGCAAAGACTCGGTTGGAACACGATTCTGGTTTCTCGCAGGTACTCTTGATATGCTTCTGTAATGTACATTACAGTAGTGCTCAAAGCGGGAAAGGATACGGAAAGACTCTCTTTGGCGTGGTACAAATACTCTGGCCAGACTACGATGGTATTGGAAACTCCCTCCGGCATCCGCATCCGCATCCTCTCAAGTCCCGCATATCCAAAAAAATATCTTCTCCAGCTGATTTAAGAAAGAAATAAGCGTAATCGGACCAATGCCGCGGGGAGTTTTTTTTTCTCCCCCGAGACATCCGTCTTCTTCTTCTTCTTCGACCTCATTTCGGCATCTCCATAAGCACTATGATTGTGCAAACACCCATTTACTTATGTCCATCACAATCTCTCACATACCACACACACACACCACATGCCGCGTCTGCCTCGGAGTTTCTCTCCGAGGATTGCGTCATGGGTTGTCGCAATTGCTGGGAATGATGAGTGGGCATGTTACATACGGACGTGACAGCCATGATTTATCTGACTCTTGCACAAGTGTCTTGTTGCGGTTTACGTCCATGCATGGTTTCTGTAAAAATAGCTAAGTGGAGCTTGGCTTTACCATATGCTCAAACAGTATTCTGGCATGTATGTGGTCATGTATGCATGTGCATTCAAGGAATGCGGTGTGAGCACGACATGGACGTGTCTCGCGGCTGGCTCGGATGTCTGTGTTTTTTTTAGTGTGAGACACAGACACATCCGTTCATCACTAGTAGGTGCGGAGAACAGTCTTGTTGCTCCGGACACGCAAAACCAGAAGCGAGACACAGTGGAGCTGTGCATGGGCAATGCACACGAGAAGCAGCGTTTCCACCGTTATCCAGCCGATTATGCGGATTACAAAGTTATTGTCTCACTGCATCCACCTCGCAGTAAGCAATACTTTGGACGACTAAGGAGAGGATAGTATATCGAGGTACTCATGTAGTTGTTCACATCCAAAAGCAAAAAAACAAAGCAAGAAGTGCGCCAGAGTATTGCAAAACAATGCATACAGCAGAAAGAACCTCTGAACATCACCAGCCTTATATTCAGCACTACTGTGAAGAATCTGTATATAACCACTTACCACGACCGAACCCCTCATCGGCCTAATAAACATGTATATACCTAGCAAGGAAAACACACCTGCGTGCTAGTACACTACTATAAGATTTTCAACTTGCTTTTTCTTTTCTTACTCGTTTGTAAGTACAGAATTATATCACACTTTAACACATACACGCACACACACACACACATAACGATACACATACTTACATACGTTTCCTGATAAAAAAAACCCCCAACACTTCAACCTCTTCCTTGCCTTGCCTATTTTTCCCCTAGAAACCCAGCTAAATCGCTATCATCCAAGTACCCACCTTATCCCGCACTTACATCCACTCGCACCCGCCCTCGCACCCGCAATCCAACTCACTAGCCACACCAGACGCGCACACACACGGGAATAACAATAAAAACCTACGTACCACTTAACAGCCGCTACCACGCACTCCTCCTTGCCAAGTGTGTACCATTCATTGTCCGCATGAAGCGGGTGAGAAACTTCAGAAGTACCTGGAAAAGGCAAGGATGAAGGTGTGGTTTGGAATATCGAAGGGGGGAATTTGCAGGGGAGATGCGAAAAGGAGATGGGAGATGGGGAAACTTGGGTTGAAAGGTTCGGTTAAGTCAGGTGTGTGGAGCTTATAGATATTGGGTGTGTATGTGTATGTGGTGAGGAATGTGGTGACGACTGTGAAGGTTAGAATACAAAGGGGGAGATATGTTGATAAGGGACTAGTAGTGTGGAACATAGACAAGACAAGTAGTAGATATGAAAAGGGAGTGTGGTTTTCTAGTTCAAATATCATCTCGGTAAAGAGGCTTATAGCGCGACTCACAAGGCCGCGTCGTAGACACTGGTATCAAGTTATCATTGAGAAAGCAAGCGGAAAAGCCAACATGCAAATCTATCCAGTCTATTCCCCGGGCAAAACGATTTTCGCACCACACTCTCTTGATCAGAAACAACAACGACAACAACAATAAATATAATATGTAAGATACACACTACAAAATCTGCGCCAATCCCACTGGCAACCCAAGCTCCTCCGTCTTCGCACTCAGCACCTTGAACACGGGCGCTCGACTCCCGCCACTACCTCTCCAGACGGTCTCGACCACCTTTGCAAACGACGACCTGCCCGCGCTGTTGACGGCGAAATACACAATCTGCTCGACGCCATTGCTGTACACGACAAAGCTCTGGATACTCAGCGTGGTCTTCTCGCCTGTCCAGTCCGTCTCGGTGAAGAGGGGCGACTGCGCCGAGGAGATGAGGGTGCCGGTGGGCACAGCGAGGTTGGGAGATGTGCAGCAGCTACGGCTAAGCACCCATTGTTTTGCTGACGAAGGATCCGAACTGCAAGACCTCGCAGCGCTATTTTGCTACATCAATATACAACCAATAGTCCGCATCCTAAACAGGAATTTCTATGACTTGTTCCATGTCCAAATCGAACGGCACCGCGTACTATGCTTCGAAACCGCCGAGCCCGTTAAATAAAAGGCTTGTGTCCGTCACAAATGCCAGATATCGGTAGCTGTATACATCATGCTGTTCTTTATTGCTCTCTCGTTGTTTCATCTCTCGGTTGCCCTACCCAGCCTGCAGCCTCGGTCCTCGGGCTATCTTGTCATTCTCGATACTGGTGTAGGCCACCGCAGCACGCCGATTCCCAGATGGCCTACTTCCCTTCGTCGCATAGGCACTGACGGTACCAACGCCGCAAACCTCACAACCTTTGGCACTGACTCTGTTGCCCACCCCTTTGACGAACCAATTGAAGGCTTCGCCCTCGCCTATTCGCCCTCAACATCCACGCTATTCTCCGCAACAGGCCGGGGCATCATTCGCACAAACCTCGATGGCAGCAATGACCAGGTCATTGTGACCGACTCCTCCAGCGGCAGCTCAACCAGCTCAATCGTCAGCATCACGGTAGCCGAGAAAGCCCAAAAAATCTACTACGGAAACCAGTACACGGGCCTCATCTACTCTGCAAACTACGATGGCAGCGACGCCACCGTCTTCCGCAACGTATCCCAGGGCCTCAACTTCCTCTTCCCGTCATACGCCCCTGCAAACACGTACCCCGGCGACATTGTCGTCGACGAAGAACGAGGCTGGCTATACTGGAGCTCCTCCACTGACGGCAGCATCCGGCGGATCCAGCTCAGCGGCTCCGGCGCCGAGCAAATCCTCGCCACGGCCGCCGACAAGCCAGGCCAGCTCCGCATCGCCGCCACATCTCTATTCTGGGCTGAGCGCGGCTCCTGGAGCTCGTCTCCAACCGCCATCAAGTACCTCGACCGCATGCTCGACCAGCTGCCTTCGTCGCCGTGTTGGTTAGTGACGTTCAGTCTAGAGCGTAGCGAGTGGCGTTGTACGCACCAATCAATAAAAACAAATGGCTTAGTACAGGGTCCGCATATGTAGCATGGGAATGTCTCCAGGTCTTCGCCCCAGAATAAATTGGCGTGGAGATTTGAGGCTCGAGCGACAGGTGCAGTCTCGGCAACGGCTTGTAGCGTGGCATTATTAATATTCTTACTAGGTATTCGGGCGTGTAAATGCGGGTATCGTACGAAAGTATAACCCCGGTACTCCAATGCTAATGCAAACGTAAAATGTCCCCTAGCCTCAAGATATCAAGGAATGGCCTCCGGGTTCTTTGGCCAATTCGCAGCGAAAGCCGTCCAGGGCGTGCCTCTTATGACCTTTTTGCCATCTTTTCCAGTGTCGTACAGCTGTGGATCGTATCCCTGTACACTCGCCCATGCCCAGAATAGTCGCCTCCAATAGCATGTCACTGCTGCTGGCGTAAGATATCTTCTTGTAAAGGTCTCGTAACTGTTCTTGGCGATGAGTTCTGCCTCGTCGTCGTGCTCACGGTAGTACTCCATGGCCGACTCGAGGTTTCCAAAGTTTTCAGAGGCTTCAATGTAGTTTACGTCGGGACCGGCGAGACGCATCAGATGCGTGTGGAATTCTTGCCATTCCAATGGATGCGTAATCAGAGCTGAACGGCAGAGCTGGAGGTACTTGAGACGGCCGGAGTAAGAAGTTCCTTCGGTCTGGACGGTGTACTTGTACCTAAAAAGCATTAGCAACAACTCAGTAATTTCCTGCACACAAACATACCCGCAGAAATCCCGTAGGTTCATGACGTCCTTTGTGTGCGGGTCGCTGGCGTTGTTGATGACCACTGGCTTGATGTCGCTCCACGCCTTCCCTTGGCTGACCCTGACGAGCTCCTTTCTCAGTGTTGCCATTTTGATTTTGCCTCGCCAGACAACTCGAGGGTCCTTCTTCGCCCACGGCAACTCGGATTCCTGGTGCTCAATCTCCTTCCTGATGCTGTTCCAACTAGGGGCATGCGTGTAGTTCCAGGCCCAGTAAGCATAGTTTGGCATCATCCAGATGTCCTTGTACTCTGGGCCTTCCTTGCGTGTGTAGCCGAAGAAAGTTCCCTTGTCGCGAGATCGGCGGGGCAGGTCATCCAGAGAAAGCGAAAATTCAACATTGGGGACTGGAGGGTCAGACATGGAGGCGGTGGTGACAGCACGGTCAATCTGGGCAAGGGTTCCAAGAATACGTTCCCGCTCGTTTCCGTTGGTGACGTAGCATTCCTCTGGCTTTCCGGCATCGATGACAAAGAGCTGGCGACGTATGAGTATGTTGTCAAAAAAACAAACACTGTCGACCTACCTCTCCCTGATGCACCAGAACCCTCAGCATACATCTTCCGGCTTCTATCTCGATATCCTTGGCATGGACCTTGTTTCCCTGACGCAAACGCACGGAGTGTTCGAGGCTGTGGTACAGCTGGGGAAAGGCGGCATCGCACTGGTCCTGGCTAAGAGTGTGTATGTTGGCGTGAAGGTCGGGGTTGAAAACCCAGCCGCGGTGCGAATACCGAGGGCTGAAGCCGTAGTTCCACTTGGACTGGCCCCATATGAAATAGAGTTGTATGGCGATTACAAAGGTAGAGACGTAAAAAACAAGGTGCGAGAAAGAAAGACGGTAATATCCTTTGGGAATCATGATGGCATAACGAGTGCGTAAAAATAGAATAAACGAGCGTGGTTGGAAAGAAAGAGCGTCGAGAGAAGGGAGGGGGCGCAGAAGACGCGTCAACGTACACCGGGGCGGGCGTCTGGCGGAGACAGGTGAGTGCGAGGGGCTGACGGGTGGCAAGAGAAAAGGCGTCTATTAGATAAGTAGTGGCGGCGGTGATATGCAGACGAGGCTGCGCATGGCGGAACCCCTGGGCTACGCTCATGCCAAGAAGGACCGGGTAAGTGAATACGATCAAGAGCATGTGGAGGTGACAGGAGACGCGGACCTGAGTGGGCACGCTGGGGGCACTCGGCGGCCGGGGCGTCTTTGGGGCCCTGGCGCTAGGCCGCTTTGGGGCGGGCTAGACAGTGCTGCGGCTAGCTTGCTGAGAGCATGCGCATGGGAACGACTCCTGGTCGAGTCGGTGGCCACCGTCATCTCAGCGACGGGTTACACCTATACATGTACGTACATATACGCACCTGGCCGCGGTCGATACGAGGTCCCAAGACGCGGAATACTGGACAGCCAAGTGCAGCATCCGGGCGGCCAACACCAAGCATCGCCATGCCGCCCACCGCAGCAGCACAAACTCTTGGATCATGGGCCCACGCAAGCTTAGCGCACGTGCTTGGTAGGGCTTGGCCCCTGACGGTGGCAGGTCAGGTCCCTTCTTCTTTGCCGCAACTGTGCAATCAAGCGCCTATGGACCAACGACGCTCAATGCAACCCTCCCCGTCCTCTTTGGGCGGCAGAGCCATCCACCCCTGCACGGCAAAGGGGCTAAACGCTCCATCGGGCATTATCTAATCGAGGCCATGACTCCGCCCGCCTCCAGCTGCAAATCGCCATTCCCGCCATGCCTCGTACGCCTATGCAGGACCACTCCGCCCCTCCCTTGCAATATCGACAGCCCCAAACGCAGCAGGGTACCGCTATCGAGGGCCTCGAAAACGGCGCCATGGTCCTGATAACGCGGCCGGTCCCTTGCGTGCCAAGACATGCACCCACTACCTAAGCAGCGGCCCGTGCTCTCTGCCAAGACCGCGCACTAGCCGAGAACGACAGGCGATGCCAAGCTCTCCCTGCAAACGGCGTCTCCGTGCTTGTCTGCACACTATACGCCAGACCGTGTCGGATGGCGAGGAGTCACCAGCCACTGCTGGGATCCGTCTGCTGAGTCTAAAAATAAGCCTCCCGACTCGCAGCAATCGACGTCTTGGCAACACCACTTCGGCCAGCATGTCAGGCACAGCCATGTAAAGCCACAAGGAGTTGCCGTGCTACCACCCAGAGCAATTTATTCGAGAACACGGAAACCCTTCTACAAATACACACAGCTACATCCTTTTCCATCGCCGAAGAGCGACCGCGTATCTGAGCATGTGATTTTATCCCACAGACCTGCCCCTCTCCCTCCCTCTCACACACGTTCTCTCTCTCTCTTCCCGACATACGTACCTCCACACGCTGACACGTGTACATCGAGTAAGTACGGAGGTGACTGTCAAAAGTTCTTGCTAACAGGGGTGCATTAATTACCGCTGAAAATAGGGCTAAAGCTATATAGATTAGTCCCGCTACATTTTTTTGTACTTATTACTACCTTTAAGTTTAATAATTTCTTAAATATAAAATAAAATACACTCTGTCTAAGCTTAAATTTAGTATTAAGGTAGCTTATTTTAGTACTATTACTATACTTTTATCTTTTTTACTTAACTTTTTAGTACGCCTTTTTATATTATCTTTCTTTTAAGCTATAGCCAAGCTACTTTAATAGTATTAAGATTAAGTAAATTACTTAGCTATAAAAGCTACTTTACTTTAGTATTTTAGTATATAGTTCTTTAAGCGTAGTCGGTATATAAAGGTACCTTATTTTTTTGAATAAAGATATATAGTTTTTTTAGCACTTTTTTATAAAAGGAATTAGCTTTAAAATAAGAACTTAAGTTCAGTAATACTATTAATTAATACTACTATAACTACTCTTATAAGCTAGCTTACTTATTTCTTTTACTTATCTTTTTTATAGAACTCTGCTAGGCTTATTATACAGAGGGGTGACACGAAAAAAACGTCACTTAAAAAGTTGTTATTTTAAAACTTTTATATCTAGCTAGAAAAAATAGCTAAAAATAAACGGATTGCAGATCTAAAAAGCCAAGATCTCCTAGTTTGGCATAGTGAACCCACCTCCCGCTTAGTCAGCAGCTCTGAGCGGAGAAAAATTATAGAATATAGGAGACTAAAATAATAAAAATTTCATTTATTGTAAAACAATAGTCCTTACTTAAAAAGGCTTAGTTTTGAGATATGTGATAGTCTATATATAGAAGATCACGTGACATGTTTTTTTTTCTATTTTTAGCAATCCTCGAGAATTAAATATCAAGTTCTGAAGACAAAGTTACTAAATTAAGTTTAGTGTATTACTAAGCCTGATTAGTCATAATATACTATATATTTGATTCTTTCTATCCTGAATTTCTGATTTCTTAATTCCTCACTATGGATCCAAAATTTTCAAAATTTGAAGCTGAAGTTGCCCGTTTGTTAAAGGCAAATATAGCCATTAAAAATATATCTATTTTACTTAGTAAGCCACCTAAGGCTATTAGAGACGCTATTTATCGATTTAAAAAGAAAAAAAATGAGAAAAGAAAGCTTGAAAGAGTTAGTAGAGGCGGAGTTTTAAAGCTTTCAGAAAGAGATAAAAGATCTATTAAT